TCAAGAATAAATAATACTAAAGACAATATGTTACTTTAAATTTAATAATGTTTGGTAAATGATGTGGATACTAAACTACTAATGTAATAATGTTTAATATATGATCGGCACCGTCATTTCATCAAGTTGAAGAAGATAAAAATGCTTTTCTTTAAGTAAAATAAGAAGATACTAAAGATATAAACGAAGTGCCCTGTGTAGTGTTTTAGGTTATTAATCATTAAATATCTGAGAAATTGACTAAAAATTGAATAACTCAATTTTCAAAAGTCAAAAGACTCAAAACTACATTTAACAAAGAAGAATTACTACGTCATGTACTTATTTTATAATTCAAGAAAATTAGATAAGGAAAAAACTGGAATTAGCCCACTAGCTCATATGAACAAATGAGTCCAACGGCTCAGATTGAATTTGGGCCGATCTGTCGGTCACGACCTCATTTCGTATTTGACTTTTAATTTTTTTTCTACAAATCCAAATCACTTGAAATTTTAGGCGTGTGTTCTTCTCATCAAGGTGCACCTAATAAAAATATAAACAAAATTATTCGCTAAAAAAAATATGTCCAAAATACCCCAAAAACTTTTCGGGGCTATTTTGGTTAACTTATTTCATATAAAATATTTTTTTGATATTTTTCAAAGATTCAACTATTTTTTATGAACACACTCTTAAAATTTCATGTGATTTGGATTTGATGAACACTACCGGACATCAATGATCGTCAGATCAGCCCAGATTCAATTTGGGCCGTTGGGCTCATATGTTCATATGAGCTAGTGGGCTAATCCCAGCTTTTTCCATGAGATAAAGGGAGGTTGCCCTTGTATGCCGTAGACTTGCTCCAGACCTTGTAGGCATAATAGGGTTATCGGTAGACCGAGTCCATTGTATAGAATTGTCCACAAAGATATCATAAAGGTTGACATTAGTACTTGGAGTCTTGGACTGAGTATATACTGACCAAAATTCAATCTTGTAGTAATGGGTAAATTTATATATTTTCTAAACACTTTTCTCATATACCGGACTGTGGTTCACATTTCTAGTAAGGGGAGAATCTTGATTCCAATATGGAGAGAATCACGATTCCAGAATGGTGAGAATGTTGATTCCAAGTTGATGAAGACAACGATTCTAGAATTTTAGGAATCACGATTCCATATTTTTAGGAATCACGATTCCATATTTTTAGGAATCACAATTCCAGCAACCACCGAAACGAGTGAGGTCATGTGTGATTTCATATAGGCATGAAACGTGATTCCAACATGAAGGGACATCGATTCTTGCAAATAGGAAACACGATTCCTAATTTTTTGCATCATGATTCCGAAATAGTGAGAATCATTTTTCTCAAATCCGAATCGTACAGACTGCGATTCCTAGATTCTGAAACTTCTGATACACACGATTCTGCGATTCCGCGATTCCGATTCCATAAACGATTGAGAATCACAGACGTTTCCAACAACTATACTTAAGACTTCCTAGGTCCTTCTGGACTTCCAAGTCTAGAAAACCTCTACCCTTCAATCTATTTAGAGCCTAGACCTCGCGAAAGCAACAAGGCCACTTCTGACACCGAGCAGCAATTGAGTTCCCAGCTCAAGTTCGATTACTAGTTTATCATTAAAAAATAAGAGATTTTTTGGCATCAGAGGTCCAAGATCAAGTGGCTCCTATTTTGGGGACCACAATACCTCTTTTTCCACAAAATAGCCACATAAAGACAACACCATAACCCACCTCATTGTAGTTGATATGCTCCTTGATCAACCAGCTAAAGTTGATGATGCCATAATCTCTTTCTTTAAACAGCTTTTTCTACACCCTCTGGTCTTAGACCCAGAATGGACGACCTGTCTTTCCCCACTCTTCCCCCTGATCAAGCCTCCTGGTTGGAGATACCCTTCTCAGAAGAAGAGATCCTCTTGGACATCAACAATCTTGCTTCAATCTGGGCCATTGGACCCGACAGCTTCTCGATGGCACCCTTCAAAATCTTATGGGACTCCTTTCGCAATGACGTCCTAGCACTCCTTGAAGAACTCCACTCCAAGGGAGTCATCAAAGGGCTATGAACACTACGTTCATTACCCTTGTTCCCAAAATCGAAGGAGCCAAGGAAATAAAAGACTACCGCCCTATCAGTCTTATCAACTCCACCTACAAAATCATCTCCAAAGTCCCAACCACTCACCTGAAGGAGGTCCTTTCCCTGGTTATCTCCCCCTCTCACAGTGCTTTTGTCAAAGTCGGACAAATCCTAGATGGGGTTCTTCTAGCCCACGAATGCATCCATTCCAAGCACCTAGCAAAATTACCCGAGCTTGTCATTAAATTAGATTGGAAGAAAGCATATGAGAATGTACACTGGCTATCTTGGATGAAACACTCTCTAGGATGGGTTTTATTAGTCACTGGAGGAACTGGATGAAAGCTTGTTACTCCCAGCCCTTCATCTCCATCCTGATAAACGGGTCGCCCAAAGGTTTCTTCTCCTCCTCTAGGGGCCTCAGGCAAGGCGATGCCCTTCCCCTGTTTCTTTCGCTATAATGGCCGAGGTTTTCATCCAATCCATCTCTCGACTGTTCACGTCAAGAAAGCTGCATGGTTTGAAGTTTGGACCCCAAGGCCCTATCACCATCCACCTCCAGTATGCCAACAACTTCCTTGTCTTCTGCAACGCCTTCCTACAAGAACTTGATAACCCTGCAAGAACTTGATAACCTTTTACTCTTTTTGAAATGTTTCAAGTTTGCCATGGGTTTCACAGTAAAGCTCAACAAATCTAAGATGGCAAGCATCACTTTGGACCTCCAAGTGACACAGAGCTTTGCGGACAATTGGGAGTGCTAGGCCGAATTTCTTCCTTTAAATTATTTGCAATTACCACTATGCATTAGCAAACCAAAGAAGCGCTTGTGGTCCCACATTATCGATAAGATGGACCGCAAACTTGCTAGATGGAATTTCTCTCTATGGCAAGGAGACTAACCCTCATCAAGGCAACGCTTGCAAATATTCCGGTGTACCAAATGTCCCTCTTTAACATGCCAGAAACAATTACCCTTCGACTCGAGCAACTTATACGCAGATTCTTTTAGCCAGGTGAGGCCAGTAACCACATGTTCCACCTCATCTCCTAGGAGAAACTCTGCCAGCCTAAGTGCTCTCGGTGGACTTGGCATTTGAAGCCTGAGGAGCACAACACAGCCCTACTTGGAAAAATGGTGGTGGCACCTTGCTACCCAATAGGACCAACTGCAGGCACAAGGTTTGCGACAAATATATCGATTAGACACTTCCTCTTGGGTGCCAGAATGCAAGACATACAATAGATCCTCCGGAAACTAGAAGTCTATCCTGTCCTTTGCTCTCTTCAAAAGCCTCATTCGCTTCATCGTAGGAAAGGAACGCGCATTCGTTTCGGGTACAACGTATAGTTTGGACATAACCCTCTCAAAGACCAGCACCCATCCCTATTCAGCCTAGCTCGGAACCAAGGAGGATTGGTGGCCGATGAATTGAACCTATCGAGCCCCACTAGAACATGGAATCCGACTTTTAGGAGAGCACTCAATGAAGATGAAACTACTAATTTCATAGATCTTGCTACAGCCCTCCATAACCAGTTCCTTGCACCTTAGGGCCCTGACCTCATCATTTGGACTCCAAATCCTTTGGGGAAGTTCTCGGTCTCCTCCTACCGAAAACTCTACAGCCACCCACTTTCCCCGTCACCCACCTCCTTAGTAGCACAAGCCTGGTCTTCTTTTACCCCTCAAAAAATCCAGGTATTTTCATGGTGGGCCTTGTTCAAGAAGGTCCTCACAGTTGACGAAGTGCAAAGGAGGGGCCTTCCCATTCCCAACAGATGCATTTTATGCTATGCACATGAGGAAAGCAGCGCCCATCTCTTCCTCTTATGCCCTTTGCCCATGAAATCTGGGGAGCTCTTCTCCGGCTCTTCAAATGGCAATGGGTAACACTGACATCTGTCCCTCATCTTCTCAGCTCTCTGCACCCCTTCCGTTGGCTAAAAGCAGGCATCTTGTTTTGGAAGGCTTCGGTGGCAGCTACCATTTGGGCTTTGCAGATCAAACGTAACGATAGGATCTTTTGAGGTGAATGTGCTTTGTCGGCTGAACTCTTTGACAAGATCAGTTCCTGGGTATCTTTTGGGCTACAAACCACAAGCATTTCAAAGGCATATCCCTTACCACATTCCATCAAGACAGGGAAGCTATTCTTTTCTCAAGACAAACCCGCATCCCCCATGAGCTTTCCTTTGGAGGCCACCAGACCTGGGACAAATCAAGCCCAAATTTGATGGTTGCTCCCTGTGCTCCACAGTGGCTCCACCCTTGCATCCTCCTCCAAAAATATTGGTAACGCTGATTCTGTGACAGCAGAGGCTTTCGCTCTTCTAGAGGGCGTCAAACTGCTCGAATGTGATAAGTTGGGCTTTTGGATCTACTACATATTCTTGGTCACTCACACACATTTTTGATGAAATTGCTCACATCTACAGGGATGTGCACGTCTTATAGAGGCATACTTGGCGGGAATCCAACCAGGAAGCCGACACCCTGGCTTAGGAGGCTGCCACATCATCACTGCACAACCCCTTAACCCCTCTTTTTGATAGACTTTGACTTGGAAGTGTGTTGTGTAACTACTTGGTTACTTTTTACTGCCCTATTGACTCTTTGTAAAGGGTGCCCCATTTAGGGGTGGTCTTTATTTTTCTTGTACAGCGCATCCCTTGCTGGGCTGCACTTTTTTGTATACAGAGCTCCCGACCTGTGGGAAGCCTATATTTTTTGATGTTTTGGACCCCTATTTACTCCTTTATATATAAAGTTAACATGTTAAAAAAAAAAGAAGGCACATTGAATACTTTGCTAAAAACTAAAAGGGCAACAGAAATTAAGTCTTTGCCAAACCATTATACACAATCTAAAGTATTATATGACGCCTAAAGCACATACTTCTGTGTTGGTCGGAGTATCGAACGGGAAAGATAAGTCTTTATCGCCAGTTGGGGGACCTGGTTCAGGTTTCCTTCCTTCCTTCAAAGCTTTCCTGATTTCTGCAGCTTTCCAAACAGCATATTTCTGCTTCTGCTCAATCTGTGAGGAACAAACTTCTTGTGAAAACAGGGAACCTCAAGGAATAAGCTCAGAAAATTATCAAACTATCTAACTAATAATGAAGGTAAAACGAAATTGAATAAATGAAATCATTTATTTGGTGGCATGGGAATAAACTCACATCAGGCTGGAGTTCTCCAAATTGAGTCAGGATCTCAAAGAAGATGCTTGCAGCATAAAAGGTCTTTGCAGTATTCCTGTAGATTCCCAAGGTGCTTTCTCAGCATGTATTTTTTCTTACAAGTATTAAAAACTTGAAAATGACAAGGATCCTAGGGCCAAGAAAAAAAATCATGCTCTCCTTAGCACCATCACCAACAACTGCAATAATGGGCAGCGAGTGGAGCAAGATGGGACCAACTAGAACAACATATGGTGATATGACTACAGATGCAGGTCCCACTCTCGCTCCATGAGCATTCATCATTGCAGTGGATGAGAATGACCTTCAGGTAGCATAGTCCTTGGGAGCTTAGCATGCTTTCTCAAGTATCAATAGAACTGTGAAAGATGGGAAGGTTGGTCTACAAGTCAGCACGCCCTGCCCGGTCCTGCTTATCAGCCTTGGCAAAGACATTGAGTGCAAATCCCTCCACATGAAGGTTGTCTTCTGGCCCCAATTTCAATGACTTCTTATCCTGTAAAATAACCACACAATAAAAAAGTAGCTGTTAAAAATAATTATCAAAAAAATAGAGTACGTGTTGAAAGTCTCAAAGAATAACTGATGTTTCAAATCTTAACATAAATATTCCTTACACAAAATTGCATGGAGAAAAATAATATGCAAATAAAAAATAACAACATAGATTATGCTGAAGGCGCCCAAAATTTTTCACCTGATGGTCGCCAAATGAACATCAAGAAATTACAAGAGCATAATCAGATGTTACAGCCCAGAACAGTAAAAAAAAATTAAGGATGACCAAATGCACAAGAAACAAGCTCTCAAATTTGGTTTCTTGATGGGAAAGACTAGTGAAGATAAGACACTATTGAAATGAAATCTAGAAATTTGTAAGTCAGCAGCTATATGATTCTGGTAAAGAATAAACCAGTAGCTCATGGTTTCCCCAATTTGAAAATCATTATGAAGTTTTCAAAATGCCCAACAGGATTCACATTTTGTGGTGTAGTTTCTGATCTTCGAATGAGGCAAGATAAATACACCAGACAAATAGCACTGTGAAAAATAAACATGACTGACATGTGAAACATCTATATCAAACACCTCAGGCAACTTCTTACTACATTCATGACAGAGATGACAGAGAGACAGAGCCAAATAGAAAGCTCACCAAACTTTCTTTTATGGTTGCCGAATTGGTATGTAGCCTCTTCTTTTCTTTTCTCCCCCACCAGGAAAGATGCAAGAGGGTTTCTCTTACATTTCAGCTATTTCTAGATATTATAAATAAATAGAAACATGGTTTTAATAGGCATTTGATGCAGTGATCCACTATTTGCTTGGGTGCAGGTTCACATTTTTAAAAGAAGCCAACAAATGTTTATATTATGTAAATAACAGTGTTCGAAAATTCGACCACCTATCTGCCTAGGTGGCAGTCGCCTAAAATGCCTAGGCCGAACGGCTTGCGTCTAGGGGCTTGCCTAGGCAGGCAAGGTGCTGCCTAGGCGCTACAGTCAAGGCAGCCACCTAAGCGCCGCCTCGACACAAGTTGCCAAGGACGGAAAAATGCCCTTGGCCACGGTCGAAATGGTAATTTTTCCCCCCTAAAAAGGGGGGAAAAGGGTTTTGGGGGACATTCTAAACCCCAAAAACCAAATCCGTGCCGTCTAGAGAGAGAAAACCTCCCCAAAAACCTCTATTTTGTTATTTATTGAAAGATCGATAAATTTTCGATATTTTCGATTTCTTCCAAAATCAAACGCATTGCTTCATGGTAGTTTTAAGAGTTTCTAGTGGTCAATAATGAGGACTTCGGTGATCGAATAGACGAGATTTGGGCCGACATCGTTTTCATTTTGATATTTTTAGAGCATTATGCCATTATGATATTTGAGTAAGGGTTTTGAGTTTTTTTGCTATAACATATTATGTTTTGAAACATTTGATTTTTCCTTTTTCAACATTTTTTTCCTTTTATGATATATTTCCATGTTTATAGCCGAAAGATTGATTTTGTTTTGTGATTAATTGATTATTAACTCGTTTGGATGATGAATTGGTCCTATATCGAATCCTTTTATAAATAATTGGTTCCTATTTTGTACAATATGTGATGTTTTGATATCCTATTAGTTTTGCTTTACTTTTTTGATATTTTTATATACTTGTAGATAGAATATTTACCGATTTGGACTTATATTTTGTGAATAGTCATAAAGTTTGCATGAAATTGATATTTCATGAATATTTGATATCCAAAACCAAATCTTATGGGTATTTAAATAAGGGTAACAAGTTTATATAGAGCCGAGGCTATCAAATTAGAGCCCAACTCAAAAATTTCACTAGAAAAGGTTATTTTGATGCCCAAATGTCCTCAAATTGATCATCTCGACATCAAGATGAATGGACATGAGAAAAAATAGATTTCAAGTTATGGAAATATTGCATCTTGTAATACATTTTTGGACCATCAATTTTTAAGATTTTCAAGTTTCACAGATCCAATCAATGTACACAATTTTTTTTTTTTTAAAGGTTCAATTTGCACTATTTTTTAAGCTTTAAATTTTATAATTAAAGATGAAATATATTTTAAGGCTATCACAAAGATTTTCAGTATGGAAACCACATTTCTCGACACTATCTGAAGATGCGCTTTACTTTGATTGTTTAGAGACTTGGCTCTATACAAACTGCACCCTTTAAATAATAATTATATTATAACTTTTACCTTAATTAATAGTCCCTACCCGTAGGCGGGTGCCCAGCCGCCTACACGGCCAGACCCCCAAAACACCTAGGCAGGCGCCTACGCCTTCTCGAACACTGGTAAATAACGATTCCTTTTTTCTTTAACTATAAAAAATTGAGTTAAAGAGGTCCGTTTTATTACAATGAGTTGCATTTTAAATCTTATTTTGACCATAAAATAAATGTAATGGATAACAAACACTTAGACATGAGACAAGTTCTTTGTATTTATATATTTTTAGAAAAATAATGAAAAATTATAATGCAATAGCATTAATGTTTTTTGGAAACCCAAAAAATAGATTTTTAAGAAATTCTAGTGATTTTTTGAAATTTTTTTAATGCATGCTCTTGTCGATTCGGCTGATTTTTCGATCCAAATCGCCGATCCACCGATCCAACATGGTTTTTGGGGTGGTCGAACACGGTCACTAGTCCGTTTTTTTAACCCTTAGGTTAAATAGAATTGACCATTTCATCTCTAGAAGCATGAAGAAGCATTAAACCCAAAAAAATGCCTTACTAACATGTACAAAATTATGTATTGCACTAGTGGTTACTATTACAAACGCTTCTTATCCACCGAGGGGTATAGTACCATCATGAAGCCTGCCTTTAGGATTTCCCACCTCTCTACAACTGACAGCATCGATCAATATTACAATGATGAATTAAGAGGATTAATTTCTATAGTTTGAGCTACCCCATTATAACATTCTTCAACTATTACCTTTAAGGGGACAAACTTTAGCAAGACAGGGACCCTTACAAATGGAATAACCATAGTATGGATTGTTGAAGTTAAAAGCCCTACCAGAAGTCTCCACCTATATGGGAAGGCACCATTTGTTTCATGGCAATCTGACCCTTCTTTCTATCACATCTTGGTTTGTTGGATCAAGATCGGCTGGCTGAACCGACTCAACTTATAGCCACATGGTTTAGGGGTAGGGAAAAAACAAATAAAAGATTGGGAGACTAAACTGTCTATCTAAGCTTGCAAGGGACTACAGCCAAATATTGAAAGATATAGCCTTTCATCGGGGACTGCCAAGAATCCGCCTTAAAATCTTTTCTCTTATCAAAGAGATCTCTATAATCCTTATAATATCCAAGAAGAAGCATGTATAAGAAATAAACGCCAAAACCTAACTTGACAGACAAGCAAACCTATAAAACCTAAAATTCTCACCCAAAATAAAGCTTCATACTCTAAACCTAAATTTTCTTCAACAAAAGGACATAATACCCCTAATCTCGATTTCTAGAAAAAGACAACCTAAACCCTAACTACATAACAAGCTGGCTGTCGACCACTTGAATGGCACGGGTCAGTCCATGTCCCCCTGTCATTCCAGCACTGCTTGACAATAAGCTTGTAACTTAAAAGAATATACAATTAAAAAGCTAGTGATTGTCATTATTCTCTATCTCCAACTTCAATATGGAGGATATGTTGATGCATCCAGGTGTTCCAGCAGTATGCCAATGTGCCACAAGATCAACATTTCATGTGCTGCCCCAGCAGAGTTTCCTAGTAGAAAGTGCAATTTAACTTTCCTCTTTGAGGCATCACAGTTCGAGGTATCACAGTTCGCCCTTGGTAGTCTCGGATGCAGATCACTTTCCGACAGAACTTTGTATGGGCAAAGTCGTAACTATCATTGCAATCATAAACAACATTGAAACTTTGTTCCATTTTCTGATTGAAATTATCTAATCGAGATCTTTAGAACAGGATACCAAACTTTTGCTCAAGTGCATACACTTGCTTAGAATCCAATCCGGAAGGAACATAATCCAGTGAATTTGTTTACCAAAAAATCAGTTCCTTGAGCATGCTAATTACTATTGTGTTCCTCAGTAAGTCTCCCAAGTGATTGTCCAAAAAAAAATATCTTCATTAGGTTAGTGCCAATGGTAGATGTTTTTCTTCTCAACTATTTCATGTGATTATAAAGAGTTCTCCTTCTAACTAATACCTAAGTTTGCAAGGGATTAGCTTGTGATCTACTTGATCTCCCATTTCTTTAAGTTGATAATTCAGGTTACACAGAAATCTGCAACTCAGAAGAAATAAGTTCTTAGAATATGCATTACAGGTGACTAATACCTATCTTAAGCTCATACATACAATTAATAACAACAATGCATGCCCTAAACAGATTTCCAAATTCCAAAGGCATAGAGTCGACCCTAAATGAGTTGTACACTAGTACAGCCTCCTTTGAGGAAGGTTAAAGATATGGGGAAAACAAAGCATGTCTGCTAATCACATATCAATTAAGGGAAAGTTGGAACCAGAGTAAATTGTAAAGATAAATAGAAATAGAGATGTTGGACTCCTAGAGGATCTTATCACAGATAATGATTGATGGTGTTGATCACTTCAAGATTATAGCAAGAGCCAAACAACCACCAGTAGATAACAGACATGATCTTGTCCAACCTGACGGTGCTAGCACACAAATGTTTTCCCTCCCCAGATAAGTGGCTTGAAGATGTTTGAGGCACGACATCATATCTTAATTACCTTTATGAGCATATGAGTGAAGAAATAGATAACTCTCCTTGACATAGATGAAATCATTATCCTTATGTGCCGCCACAAACAAAACATCCTTCTTTCCCTTTCTTTACATTCCCCTTTTTAATTCTTCTTCTTTTTACCCTTTTCTTCCTTTCTCTCTTTTCATTATCATTCTTTTCATAAAAATATCGCCTGCCATATCTTCCCCCTAACATGAAGGAACCAAAAAATAGTGGCTTCCCCAGGTGATTCTCAACTTACGATATGCCAGGATTCAACTAGCACGACGCAGAGAGCATACATCAAACCATGATAATAAAAAGAAAAAAAGAAAAGAAAAAGATCTACACTCCATGTCAATACCATTTTGAAATTAAGATGCAGAAGAAATAAACTATAAACAGAAAACAAAAAAATCTTTAATCATAAAAGTCTGAGGCACTCAATGGAAGAGCTCTCAAAAGCTGAAGTAGCTACATCTGAATAAACTTGAATGCAGAATGAAGCGTCTCAACCCACTATGGGTTCTTTTATGAAGCAATTGATTGAGCAAAATACGCCACAAAGCCACATATACTTCCTATCTGTCGCAGCGACCAATAGGCACAGCAGGTAAGTGATTTTGACACGTAAAGATTTAATAGTTAATTAGTTGTAACCATTTGGATTTTCAAATTTCATTTATGGTATATAATTAACGCGGGCTTCTAGCTCCATATTATTAGCCATGGATCTTGTCTAAAATGAGTGTGATAACTAGATTTGTTTTTCAACCCAATATATTTTTATGGCCTTGCACAATCAACTCACTACAAGATCAGGAAGGGAGTGAAATATTTTGTTGAGAGATTTGAGCAAAATGGAAAGAAGCAGATTGAAGTTCTAAAGGAGTTATGCTAACATTTTGTGAATAAGTTGAGTTTCCCCAATTTAGGGCATTTATGAGTTATGTAGGTCACATTTGTAAATTATTAAACCTCAAATTTTCTCAGCTTTCTCGTATGAGGATGTGCAAGGAAAATTCATAATAAACCTTGCACGAAAATCTCGCACTAAGCTAGATCTAGGTTACATCTCAAGTCCATGTGCATGATATATTCTTTTCTTGAGATTAAACACCTTTCTTATAAGTTCCTTCCCCTTTTTCATCAAAGTTGGGGGGACTACATAGCAATAAAAATCACCACCTACAGAGTATAGCAATCAAGGTGCCCCGCAAAAATGTTCTGCTATAAGGTGTGGAGCAAATTGAAGTGCCTTTCAGTGGATCCACACACCAAGAAGAAATAGGTTGGTTGCTGCCTAGTCGAATTTCCATATAACGAGAATATCCATAAGCAGCAGTTGAGGATGGAAGCTAATGACTACAACTGCTCAAATTCGATAACATTTTTTTTTTGGATAACCAAATTCGATAATATTTTTCCAGAGGATCTAGTGGAAGAATGGTTGGTGGAAGTGGAAGGCCACTTCCATATGACAAGCTAAAGGAAGAAGAGTTGGTCCCCATTGAAGATGAAGGAGAGGAAGATGGGACTTAATTACTTAAAAGGTACAAGTTCGAGGAGGTGCACAACTTGAGGGAGGAGCACAAGTTGAAGAGCATGGAGTCACTGGAGGAGGAGATGATGATGACGATAAGACCACTAACCCAGACAATGTGAGGGAGAATGAACAACAGAGTGGGGGCAGGCACAAGGGCTGAACTAGCATTTGGCACGTATATTTGTAATTTTGAAACCTCTTATGAAACTCATTACTGTTATGTAATCCAATTTGGACCGTTAAATGGATGCCTAGCACTCTGGTAGTTAAAACCCTTAATATATTATAAGTTTTGTATTTTTTTCTTCTTACATGTAAATTTTTTTTATTCTTTTCATTTCTTCAAAATTCAAATTTTTTGAAATCCTGTTCTTTTTGCAATTTTTTGATGCCATATTGGGGTAGTAAGGGTTGCTTGCCACCCGAATCAGAGCTCCGATCCAACTTTTAAATAAGTAGTTATGAACTACAACAAAGGACACTGAAGTTCCTCGCCAATCAAGATTTTTCCTTTGCAGTTATTTAAAGAACAACAAAGCTTTCTGCAGCTGTATTTGCATGTGACAGCAGCTATTTATGCCCACTGTTCTTATCAGATTAGGGTCCTGTGGCCACATAAAAGTCTTACCCTTAAAACAAGGGCCTAACCATTTCCATATTAGGAATCTTTGCTCACAAGATGAATACACAGAAAGAGTTACTGACTTGTTTTAAATATTCTTAGTTAGGCAACAAGATTGAACTTGTTTTAAATGTATATAAGCACAGTTTTTATCCACAAAGTTAATGCAACATAAATAAAACTCAATAAAACCGTATGGCATGTAATAATTCAGACTTCTTATAATCTATAAACCGATGAAGAATGCATGAACTGAAGTCACGAGAAGGAAGAGATGACACAGGCGAAAGCTCTTTCAAAAACTAGAAAACCCAACAACTATTTATACAAAATCATTCACTAACATAAAGCACACAAAAATGGAAGGTGTCTCTTTAAATTTGCATAGCAAAACCAAATTAATCATCAATAACCAATAAGCAATCAAAGACTTCACAGAGGATAAAGGAGACACCTTTTCGAGCTGCTTCATCAAGGAAACAAGGAGGGCATTGGTGGTTTTGGTCCTCTCCTTAGGGTTTATCTTCAACCCTCGCTCCATGGCATACAAGCGACCTGATCATTGAAGAGAAACGAAACAAACGATTCAATTAAACCCAAAATAACACGATTTGTTATGGAAGAGAAAGAAAACCAAATCAGATCGATGCTGCTGCGATGTAAAAAGCGATAAGATAGAAATTAGGGATTTGAAAGGCAGATTAAGGCATACAGTAGTACGCAACGAGGGGTTCGTGTTTCTGCAATTCATCGGCTCTTTGAAGATATGGCAAGAGGAGTTTGGCTGGCTCGGTCTCACTCCCCATCTCCTATGCACTTGTGAGAAAGAGAGTTTGCCTTAAGCAATAAGGAGCGACAGAGAGAGAGAGAGAGAGAGTTCTCCTCACGCAATAAGGATTTGGGAACACTTCAATGGAGAAATTTCAGCGAGAGGAGGGTTCTACACAGGATTTCGGAGCTTTTACGCCGAACAGAGACAAGATAAATCCTTCTGTAATGTAACAGTCGAGGACTTTTTTAAACGCATAATTTGAGAGAGCGTGAGAGAGAGAGAGCTATATAAAACGAGAAACTCTTTGCACCGGGAGTGTTTTTGATATGGGAGGGTATAAAACGAAGGGAAAGGTACAGAAGATCCATCCTTCGCCTAACATCCAGCCGTACAATTTAATCAAGTGTGAGACGCTAGAGATCCGACGCTTCAGATTATTTTATTTTGGGCGCGGTTTCTGAAAAATTACAATCTTAAGCAATCCAAGGCGCGCCTTAAAATTTTATCATGACATTTAATTTTGCGATAAAAAATTCTTCGTATTATCTTAAAATCTATTTTTATACCTAATTAAAAAATTTAAAATTTTAAAAATAGTTAAAATTAAGTAGATCTATATAAAAATTTTGAAAATAGACGGTCTAGATAATGTGTTGCAAGATGTACTATTTTCGGGACTCAAAAATTTTTTTCTTTTTTATATTCATACATCTCAATTTTTTCAACATTAAAATAATATTTTCGATAGATTTTTGAGGTACATATGTAATTCTACATTTTAAGGTTGCAACCTATATAAACTTTTCCGTTTTATTTTTAATGTTTTTTATACTATTTATATGAATATGAAATTTAATATTTGCCAATCTTATCATTGGGCGCACCTACAAAAAAAAATATTTAAAATAATTTTTCGATAAAATATAATGATCAAAATACCTTTTCAATTTTTTAAAGGTAGGTTGGTTATTTTATTTTATTGAAAATATTGATTTTATTTTTTTTACACTTGTGAATTTAATAGAGGATTGGACACCCAAAAACTGATATCAAAATAGTATATATAAAAAAATTAAAAATAAAATAATGTAGAGGCGAGACATTGTTATTGGGGCAATCTTAGCCCTTTATTCAAAATGGATGGTTAGAAAAAGGGCAGTATATAAGTTTTATATTGTAAGGGAAGCATAGAAACCATTTATCTCTGCCCATCACAATTGCTACTAGTCATTAGAAATCAAATTTGATAACTTACAGAATTTTTTTAAAAATTTTGAGTTTAATCAATGATATACTTACAGCATTCCGATTTGAAATCTAACGGATAAAAGTAATTATTGCCTTCTTGTACTACAAGTAAAAGTAAATGATCTACTTGTCCAAGAATAATTTGATTACCACCTTAAGGTAAGGCTATATCAGACTATTTACGTGGACTACTTTTCCGTGTTTTTTATTTCCAATAGGGCAATTGCTTCCGTCTTCTTGTTTGGGTGAAAAGTGAGGAACTAAACAGATCTCGTGTGTGGTAAATGACGAGGTCGTGTTTTTCTAGAGAATCTTTGAAAAATTGGGAGCCAGGAAAATGGGGACCTCGAAGCAATGGTTTAAAAATCGGATCGATTTTTTGGATTGAGCATCCCAAAAACCCATTCGGATCGGTGAATCGGTATTTCAGATTGCGAATCAATCGAAATGGGCCTTAAAAAAATTCAAAAAAATTATTAAAAATCATAAGAAATGCTATTTTTTAGGAATCCAATAAGAAATGAGAGTACTATATTAATAACTTTTATTTTTTTTGCATCAATATGCGAATATTGAGATGTTCTTTCTCTGTATAAAGATTCTCATCAAACATTTATTAAAACCTAATTAAATACAATATTATTATACATTGAAATTAGAATTATTAATTTGTATTTTATTATTTTATCATCATTTTACTATACAAATAAAAATAAAATTGAAATTTGTCTTATAATATCATCTAATTTACAATTATAACAAAAGGTAATACATTACATAATTTATAATGTAAATATATTAATAAATAAAATATAATTTTTTATTATCATTGTAATTAGTATAATTATTAATTATAATATTATAATAAACCTGATTCAAAAAACAAAGGTATGACCCTCGTTAATAAATAAATCTAATG